TTTCGAGCGACTCCTACAACGAGGGTAACGTAAAAGAGGAAATAAAATTCACGTCGGGAATGTTTGAAGTCTGAGACAGTTATTAATTGATAGAAATTAGAATTATTGTATCGTTGGCAGACTCGAGCAATTTATTGCTGTTCGTTGGGGATTTGATTGTAAGAGTCGATTTGGATTTCATTTTGTTTGGCAGAAAGTTGGAATCTCTGTGAACGTGAGCGTTCATAACGAGACGTACTAATTCCACGTTCATCTGTTAGGGAGGGTGTGCATCGATAAGGAGTCAGCTTCATTTGTTCAAATTTTGAGAAATTAAGAAGAACGTTTTAAAAATCAGACGTTTGAAATTTTCTTTCGTTTTCTTTTTCATAGTATAGGTACCTAATTATAAAATCATATCGTTCCGGATTCCATCCTTCCTTTTCAGAGTGATAGGGGAAGGATTAATGTTTGGAGCTGTCTCCTTATTGTTAAAAAAATGCAGAATACGAAAAATCGTAAAATTAGTGAAAAAATTCATTCTTCGTCAGTTTTTCTGGCGGCCGGACCTGTCTCCTTATTGCACCGCGAAAAAAAAGGAATTTTTTAAAGCCGTGATTATGTTCTCACCTCAAAATCGTAAAAAAAATCGTGCTGTCCACTTACTGCAGCACACTCCTCAATTGACAAATCGTTGGTTTATTCGAGCAATTTATGACGGTATCTCAGTGCAACGTTAACTTCGGTGTCATCTATAGGAAACCACAAATCGAAGTATACGAAAAGGAAGTCTTGGGTCTACGATTGCTAATAGTGCAACTAATCTTTTCTTTTGTTTCGCACTCCACCGAGTCTCAAAGTCTTACAGTTTTTTTTTTTTCCAGAAAACTCTTTATACCGTTAATCAAAAGATCACTATCGAAACGTGTCACCCTTTCCAATCCAAAAGCCATTTAGTCACGACGACTGAAACGAAGGATTTCTTTGTTTCCGCCGAACAATCCGCGACCCATTTTTCTGCCCCCCCGCTGGACCCAAGATTTCACTCGACTATAGCGTTCGCCACGGTGCAGTTTTTACAGCCCACCCATGGCAGAGTGAAAGTTTTCCGAGAAAACCGTGAAAAAAGTCGACGAGCCGTTTCTTTCTTCGGCGTAGAAATGATTTCCGCGCTTTTATTTCGCGGCCGTTAAAAAGTGGCGTGCAACGGAATTCTTCTCCGTCGTCTCGATACCGTGACAAACTTACTTGATCTAGAAGTGAACTCGCACGAAACTTCGATGTCGAACGTGAATTGAAAAGCGCAGGAGGCCTTCGAGTTATTTTTGTTGCGATCGTCATGGATGTTAACGAATGGATTAGATCCCTCTCTTGGATCTTTGCCGATGAACGTGGTTTCTTTACTGGCGGATGACTTCGTTCATTGAATCGTTCGTCTGACAATGGACCGAGTCATCGTTTCTTGACTGGTACGATAGATTTTCTTTGATTTTAATTAAAAAGGTATTACAGTCTAGAATGTCAATTTTTATTTCTATTTGGGGATTTTTTTTTTAATCTATAAGAATATTTTTATTTTATTTGCACGCATGTTTATTAACGTACACAATTTTTCGCAAATAAAGATAGTCATAATTAAGCATGGTACAAGTGAAAAAAGTATGTTCGCGGTTGCCACGATTCTGGCCAAGAAACATCTTCATTGATATTAGCGGAATAGTTAAACGGAGTAATTATGAAATATTGTAAATTCAACAAATGACAGCACTCTAAAGTTTGAATACAGATTTCTTGTATAATGATTTCTTTATTCCAACGTTGTGACACAAAGTTGTTGGTTTCCTTCAAGAATGATCTTTACGAAAAATAATTTAGCTTCATGATTGAAGTACGATATAATAAATGAGAAAATTGAATCTGGTACCACTACGAAGCTTAACTGTTCGTATCTATGAATACGTTTTCTTTATCAATATTAATTTATTTTGCAAACTCAAATATAATAATAAATGATACAACTAAATTTAAATAACCATAAATCGTACTAGTATAATAAATCGATCAGTCATCGAAACAAAAACATTGAAAATAAAAGATAATGAAAACAGTGTATAAAACTGCGAGAACAAAAGCAGAATAAATTAAGAGAATAGTAAACAGCGCCTCTATGTTGAAAACGATTACCTCGTGCACTTACGTATGCTCACCTGGAAATTTTTGCTCGTTCCTCCAAGTTTTTCCAAACCACTTAATCCTTCATCTACAGTCCGATGCGCACACTGTATATTTCCACGACTCATTAATAGTTCATATTGCTCGAGATACGAGCATTGATTTCTCGTTTGCCTGTCGAGTATCCGCTCGAATTCGGTAAGCATTAGTCATTATTAATTGCATCCGCGGAATGGTTAATTTATCACGTTTCCAATTGCAGGCCACCTTTCCCTGTGCCTACTCACTTTCTTTGAATTCTTGTTTCTGTTTACGGGACGGTAATTGCTGGGATGCGTGGGTCACGGCTACCATGTAGTACAGAAACGTGAATTCGATCGGCTTTCACCGAATAATTTATATTCTTCGCGGGAAAACGCCTTACGAGCTGCGCGTGCCTGCTTTTAATTGAACGAAAACAGGATTTTTAGATTATTTGTCGGGTGCATCGACACTGTTTCGACACCACGGGAATCTCGAATCGATCATTCTATATATACACCACACCTTTATTTACTATTATTAGATTCTTGTCGTAATGAACTTCATCGATCATCGAGAAATTAATTTTCGATTAGTATCCCCATGGAGTGCTGGAATAATTAATTTTCAGTTATTATTACACGATATTAATATTCAGTTTTGCAACTAAAATATAATAATAAATGACGATATTAAATCTGGTACAGTGTATCAAATTTAGCTGTTTACGTCTATTAATATTTATTAATATCACGTAATAATGATTGGAATACTGAATTAATAACTAATATATTAACAATTCCTGAAACCCAATTTTCGAATTCCTATCGGGCATATGTATTTACTCTCTTTGTTAAATGTTTGTTTTCAGTATTCTGAACGAATAATTGAAGCATATCAATTTTTTAATTCTGACGTTCATATTTTAATAAACAGAAATAATATAAGAAACGTACGGAAATGTATCTCGCGAGTGCATACATATTAGGAAAATAAGCAACAAAAATTCTTCAATTATCGTTGCAGAGATTTATACTGTTACTTCGAACAGTATAAATTAGCCCGCGAAGAGATATTAACTCATAACGATTACCAAGAGGAAGAAAGTATATATCAGCAGTGCAATTATATTAATATTAACTACCGTTTACTATAAACTCATTGCTTGCAAGCAAAACATACCGGATGTCGTCGAGAAAGTAAAAACTCCAATAACTGGTACCCTAGAGAAAGCATAAATACCGTGACATTTTTACCTCCGATTCGGAAAATTCTTGCTGGAGAAAATTCACGTTGAGTGCTTTGCAAACGATTATCCAGTTTATTATCCAACTCGATTATCCATTAACTGATTTTTTGACCTTGTTTCGTTCTCTGGAGTGCTTTCAGTTGGTGATTGTGAATATTTAAACTATACATCTGCACTATATTATTTTCTTAATATCTTAGATATATATATATATATAAAGGATTTCGTTATTTTATATCTCTAGTTAACAGAATTAATTTTTATTCGTACATTCTAAAACCGAGTCAATTTATCTATATAAATAACTAGCGACCCACGGATTTCACTCGCGCGGAATACTATTCTTATTCTTATTCACGTGGGTGCAATAATTACTCTAGTGTTTATGTAAGTATCTAATCAGATGCTTCGTGACAGATGAACGCATTTAACTAGGTAGAGGGTAGAGATAGATTTCTAACTTTTGAATTATATATTTAATATATTATTCAAAATATTCATTTTATTTCATATTTAATACATTTAACATGTTACGCGATAATAAATTATCCTTCGCAATTCCAACCAAACGTAGCAAGTCTCGATTCGAATCCAAACTTCCTGTCGAGTGAAAGTTCAGATCGGGATAATAAATTTACCTTCACGCAACGAGAATCCCTTTCAATGGAAGCTCGCGATCGGCAATGGCATAATTTTTCTTTGTCAGATTGTTGAGATGAGAATATACGAGCCTGTTCCTTTTTTTTTTTCACAAGGACAGCATAGTTTCACAGAAGAAAGTTTCGAAGGAAAGTATGAAACAAGAAGCGGGTCATCGAAGCCATGGGAAGCGCGTATATGCGTGTCCAGATATAAGCTGCTTGACCTTAAATGTCTGACCACTTATTCCTGCTGACACAATGACGGTCGCGTAAGTCGTTTGGAAACTCTGCGTGGCAAATGACGTGCAATAATAGCGATATCAGAATGCGAGAGCAAAAGCAAGCACGCGTGTAATTGCACGGAACGCTTTCAACTACGTTGTTCTATCGAACGAAGAGACATTTTCGGAGTATTATAGAAAACCTCGTTTTATTCTTCTTGTAATTTAAAATTGCTACAGTAAAATTTCCTTAAATGTACAAATTTCTATACGATAAATGCACCTCGAAGGAGGTCTGAACTTCGAGCGTATAGTGTTTCATTCTGTGGACTCGTATCGTTCACTCGACTAATCTAAATGTAATTTCAATTTATACTTTACACTTTACGATAGATACTAAAATATAGAAAAATATCTGACGATTGAAAAAATCAATGGTCGCTTTATGAGATCCATCTTGGCGCACGTACTATAAGTAAGATCTCTTATTTTCTATACATACGTGCGTTCTTCTGTCTGAAATTTAAATAACCATCACTTCCTTTTGATCTGTTTATTTTTTATACTCAAAGTCCGCCCAGCAGCGTGAACATAAGAAAGTGACCAGACTATTAATTAATGGAGAAAACTAGTCCGTAGTTTCTAAATTTCTATTTGAAAGCCGTCGACGCGTGGTGAGTTTGATTGACGATTACGTTGAACATTTCTGTGTTTCAGGTACAATGGAGAAATGGGAGTCCTTAGCCGCCAGAGTGGAGGAAACTCAAATGGCCAACGCGCTTCATCGCGAATTGACTGCTCTTCGGACGGAATTCAAAGCGTCACGCGACAGGCTCTCCTCGCACGAGATCGTTCTGGAGCAGCCCCACGTGTTGGACGAGCGGATTAACCGAATTACGGTAAGAATTTCATATTTCTATGGCTGCGTTATAGAGTACACAGGGTGCTTATCGAGTGCACGAGTTGCTACGATACTTACTATCTAATATTCAAACTGTATCGTTCTGTGTACACTAGTTACTCTCGCTGATAACTTTTGATGAGAACGTGGTCAGAGTAGAAATGAGACGTAGAAATAATACGTAGAAATAATACGTATTTCTCATGCAAACTGAATTAATATTTCATTCGGTTCATACAAGATGTTTACTGTGTAGGTGTTTATATACATGACGAATGGGCGATATTGAGCAACAGCTGCTTTTTTAAAAAAAAAAAAACATTCCGTACATAAATTACATATCTGCGATCGATTGAAGTTTCTTTTGCATGAAATAGACTCGAACTGAACAGCAAGGTCGAAGATCAACGGCAAATACGTTCTCTTGTTTACCGCAATCCATCTTCCTGTTTAATCGATCATAATCTCATCACTACCATGATGATTTATAAATTGCGGGTTGGAATTACGCGATGTACGCGTGTTGAATTCCAATCCTTCCCGCGTGTAGCGTTGTCATCTGTTTCTACGTTCCGTCGGTCACGTTGCTTGCGACTCTAAAGTGGTAAGCGCTTAAGAGTGCTAAAACCTTCGAAATTTGAAACAGAAATGCAATTTGATGTTAATTCTATTCCTCCTCGTGGCTTTTTAAATATTTATTTCGCTTGTCGGTGTGTATAACTTGTGTCGGTGCGCCTCGTGCTGTCGGTAACGCACCTACGGTCGGTAAAATATTCCAGGTAAATTCTCTGCTTAGGATAACTCTGTCTATACCGACGGAAGTACGATCTTGTTTACTGATTCTGTTCACCATAGATGGCGATGAGCTACTTCATTTCCCGCAATAGAAAATTAACGATTCAAAATGTGAAATTTGCGGTTAAAACGTTTCTTTTTTAATGTAAATTATTTCCGTGGCAGTGTTTATATAAACAGACGATCTAATTTCTTAGACATTGATGCTGTAACAGTAATGGAGCGAAATGAATTGTACACAATTTTGTAATGTAAACATAATACAAGTGTTATGGTAATGGTAATACATGTATTATGGTAATGTGAACATTACGTTATCATTATTATGGTAGATATCATGGAAAAAATATCTAGCGGAGCACTATTGTCCGAACTACTCGGTTATCGAGACTGTCTCGACCTGTTTCATCGTCATTAGTGAGGCTGTGCTGTATCAACGCACAACTATAGTCGCCGTTAGCATAGAGAGGGTTGAAGAACACCTCGAGTCCGCGACTTTTCGCGAAACCGAGTAAGAGTTGGAAAGTCGCGGGACCCTCTGAAAAATTCGAGCCGGGGATGGGCGAAGATGAAAGTAGGCGAAATAGAAGCAAGGAGCTGGAGCCCCTGGGGGTGGAAAGACGAAGCAGGGAGGAAAAGGAGGCGGCGAAAGACGTAGAGAAAGAGGTGGACGAAGGGGTGGGAGAGGCAAGGATAGAGGCAGAGAGTGGCGTAAAAGCGTAGTCGTGTCGCACGTACGCTCGTCTGACGGCGACGTGCCCAGCATCGCAACTCGCGACCGAACACCAGCGAACCTACCCAACCCCTCCGAGTTCCACCCCCCGAGAGTCATCCCCAGCCTGCCTACCCTCTCTCAACCCTCTCCCTGGAAACCTCTGGAACACCCTCGGTCTCCTTCCTGTTTCTCTTCCTCAGCTTTCTCTCTCCTTTCCAACCAGTTCCTCTTTTCCTCTTCGTCTATCAGTCATTTTCTTCGATTCTCCTCGTTCGCGAGGAGTCCTCATTTTCGCCTTTGAACTGTCTTCTTACCTCTCTGCGCACCTCCACCCCCGCACCTCCACCCCCGCACCTCCACCCCCGCACACCCTTCTCCCTCTGTCTCCAGCGCGTTTCGTCCTCTTTTTTTCCGGCTCGGTTCTCTTTTCCTTTTCGTAGACGTTATCTCCTGTTTTCCTCTCGTCTGCACTGTCTCGCCCTCGCAACATCCCTCCCGGTCTCATTGCGAAGACCAAACACATGCTCCCTATCTATCATCAAGATGTATTAGCGTCCAACATTTGCCGGGTGAACTCGTCGCTGTGCTGCATTATGCAGGAGGCGCGGCGCGCGAGGCCGTCTAGCCACCGAAACCCATCCAGATCCGCGGAGGAGGAGCGTCGTATTCTTGTTCTTACACGTTTTTGCGTGCCAGCCTGGTCCTGCCTTCGCGGATCGGACGGAACGAAGGAGAACGCTGGGAAGCAAGGACTGTGGAATTTTGGGGGATTTTTCTGGTTATTTTACGCAACAGAATTTGGAGACGGCGATGGAGAGTTGGTTGAGAGGGTGTAAAAGTGTTGAAAGAGTATTGGTAGAAGGGTTAAGGTTGGATAGTAGGTTCGGTTAGTATTTATAGGTATAGGTGGGAAGTCCGTGGAGATGTGTATCGATAGCAGAGGTACTATGCGGGGTTTAGTTGAGATGAAAGAGAAATTAGGATGGAGAAGTATTGGCGGAAGGGTTAAGGAGGTTGAGATGGTATTTATAAAATTAATACTAAAAAAAAAAATTTGGTATCACGCTGTATAAGAAATAAAATATTGTTTATGTTATGGATGAAAGGTTTCTCATAAACGGTGTGTGTATTCCTCAAAAATGCTTACTCGTCGAAGGGTTGAAGAAGTATAGAGTGGTGAGAATTTGGAGAACAAGTCTTGTTAGGATTAAAAGTCGAATCGGCGTCAAGTCGAGGTTATTAAATCGAGAACTGAATCATGAGAGCATCTGACAAATATTAGAGAGGTATCGCTGGAAAATTCGGTGGGGAAGGGTTGACGTTTCGTCGAGGAAAGCCTCGCAGAGGGTCCAGATAACGTGCGTGTCAGGGATTAGGTTTCCGTTGCGGAGAGGGATGGTGTTGCGGACGAATTTTGTGAATCGAGGACGCGACCGAGAGGATTTAGAGTATTTTTTCGGTGGATTGCAGGTGTCTCGTGCGGGATTAAAATGGTAATTCAGGGAATTAAAATCTGTTCTTTTACCATTTCGTCGGTACGCAGGGATTTGATTACTGAATATTAAATTTTGCTCGTCGGTCACAAATACGATATTCCAGAATGATCTTCTAAAATGGTAATCGGAAAAAGAATCGAGCAAAAATTTGTTCACCAAATTATTCCCAAAAGAAAAACGACATACATGCTTGTCGTGAAATTGATCAACACGGTATCATAGTTGGCATATTAAACTAACTGTAGTATCCCTCCGCCCGGTACTCAAGATTAAGGAGTCAAAGAACGTTAATCGTAGGGCGCAAGATTAGTCGAGTAAGAAAAGTAGTCGACTTATTTTTCGTAGAAACTCCCACATAACCAATGTGCAATGAATCAATCTGTGTCAATCGTTCGCTAAAACCAAGCATCTGCTAAATCTTGATATCCATTGTACCAGTAAATCTATTCCGTGCAACGTCTAATCGTGCCGATGGGTGCGTCGCGACGTCTTCCCGATCGGTTCTCTCCGCTAATCGGCGCGTTTTGCTATCAAATTGAAATGTAACAGTTTCAACCTCGAATCGATCAGACGTATTCGGTCGCAGAATCGCCTACAGGCTGCAGCGTCCCGAGTATTTGGGATGCACGACGGACAACGAAAAGCACGACGGAATGAGCGTGCGCGGAGCGTGGCGCACGAATCAGAATGGAATGCTCCTCGTGTATTATGCATTCGTAAACAGTCCTCGATCGAGCCAATACACACGGTTGCTGTACGAGCGTGCGACGGCTGGCGCATGTCGCGACTCGACGAGGCGGCGGCGGCGTCGTCGTCCGCCGTCGATTACGTTATTGCGTAATTCCAGACGAAACGCGTCGTCGGTGCCTTGCGTTTTGATATTCCGCTCATTAGCGATCGTTCGCGCTTAAGCGCTGCGTGATCAGCCTGTGAGAGCGGGCTCGAGACGACACCAGACCCGTGAGAAAACTATTTTCGTCTAGGAGATCGCAAGAGATTTGCATCCACCCACTCTGTGCTCGTCGCATACCCGTAACGCAAACAATCCAGCTGTAGGATTTCGTTTGCTAAAGGGTGATGCGTGGGAAATGTGATCGTTCTGTTTAATAAAAATCACACAGTAAAGTCTTTCAATTCACGTAAAATCGAGGGAACCAGAACAACCCTTAATGCTGTCTGTAGAGACAGGTACAGCGCGGAGCATAACTGTAGCACTATTCGTATTCTTAGGGAATGTATTAGGGTTAGCTGCTTCTTAGAGCAAGAAGAGATTAATATACAGATAGATTGGTATATAGATAGATAATTTATTCCTTGTAATTTGTTACATAAAGAAGAACTTTTGCTTACATCGCACCATTTACAAATCGCATCTTCCTTCCCTTTCCTCGCTCTATCTTTCAACACATTCCTCGTCCATTCCAGTCCTTCACCTTTATCTCAAAGAACCATTGTCAAGCTCATGTCCGTTCGTAGTGATTCCTTACAATCGTTCATCAAACGAAACATACTTTCTCCTTTCCACATTGCACGCTCTATATAACTTCTTTTCCTGAACCAACCATGAAAATGATGCACGGTAAATCGCGAAAGACCTGGAAGGCTTTTGGACTTGGAAAGCTTGTTAGCTGATATACGTACAGTCTGCCAGCTGTTTGGAGTGGCAGCGCGTGCCTTTATTCGGTGCGTTCGTTCGGGCATTGCGCTGTTTTTCTTGCATCCCGCGGCGGCCTTTAAAAAGCCCGCGCTCGCGATACGGCCGAGCAATTAAAATACTAGCGGCCAGTACGCAATAAGAATTGCCACGCGCAAAAAGTTAATTCTCCGGTTACACGTGACGCGGATGCGCACCATCCCCCAAACATGGCCAAAATGTGTAATTATGGAATTCCTCGAGCAACCAATGCGAGATATCGCTTTGACCTCGGGGATTTATGTACTTCGGAGAGAACTGTTTTCCAACGAGTAAATATTTCGCGAAGAAATTATTTT